GCATACCTATGGAAGGCCTTCTGCATAGGGTGTGGCTTATCACAGAAGTCCACTTACTTAAAGCATCTCCCAAAAGTGTCCTGTTCTTTTCGCTTGGCTGTCCGCGTCCCTGCCTCCTCGCTCCGTCCTGTGATTTTCAGTGTGACACGTGAGTGGGCGCAGTTTCTCTAACTTAACCCTTGTTTTTCTGGACAGTTCCTCTTTTGTAGCGCCATGACTGAGGTTGACTGAGTACCTTTGACTACTTCTGCTGCTGGATATATATCGTGTCTCCCAGACTGGCAACCATGGTTTTAATTAAATTTCTGTTCTTTTGTTAGAGTTTTATGTGTAAATGAAAAGCTTTTCATCTTATAAAATATTTAGTATGTTCTATTGCCTATTAACGAGAAATAAAAGTAGAAGCCTTGGGATTAAAGCTCCTGACGATCTGCTTTCTGACCTTTTTGGACTCATCTCCAGCTATGTATTTTGCTTCAAGTGTCTACACGTTCTTTGGATATTTAGTTCTCTCACACCTGTTAGTTCGGTGGTTCTCAAGTGTGTGGCCCCTGCACAGCAGCATCAGCGTCTTCTGGAGCCTACTTAGAAATGCGGAGTTTTGGTCCCCGTCTCAGACCCACCCAGGCAGAAACTCGGGAAGGTAGTGCAGCAGTCTCTTTGCACAGCCCCTCCGCTGATTCTGGTGCACAGTGATTGACAGCCCCTATTTTGGTTCCATCTACCTGTACCTCTGTCCTCCTTTTTCACCTGACTTCTAGTTATCTTATGAAATTACACCTTTCTGCAGCCTTGTCCTCTCTATCGTGTGCTACGGTACTTTATCAAATTACTTTATAGCATTTACACTGCGTGCACTGATCTTTTAAGGTAGAGGTTATAAGACACGGTAGGTTTTTACCAACATACAGTACCTCCCTCACTGGTAAGTTAATTAGTGCTGGTGAATAAATGAATCTATGCGTGAATGGAAGAAGAGAATATTTTAGGAGAAATGGTAGTCAGGAAGGTCAGGTGCTTTGGAGAAATCATAGAGAATAATGAAAGAAAAAAGCTATTGCGTTTCACAGTAAGTCAGGTGTTGGTGACCTTTGAAATGCTTGCTTCAGCAGAGTAGTGGGCACGAAGCCCAGATTGCTGGGAGAAGGGATTTCCAACACGTTGAAGACTTGAAATTTTTATATTGATTGTTTATCTGAACATGTGTTAGAAACAATTGAAATTTTAAGTAACCTTAGGCTGATTACCTAACCCCACTGAGCCTGTGATCTTGGAGTAGGTGGGTGTGTGTGTGTTGTTAATTAAAAGGTTACATAAGATAATTATGAGCCCTAGAATGGTACCTAACATAAAATTGGCGCTTAAATAGTCATTTCCTTTAGCTACCCCCAACCACCTTTATTTTGCATTATTGCTGTTGGAGACATCATTCTTTGTAAATTCTTTCTTTAAGATAAGAAACTGTTTAGGGTACTTCTCATTCCAATCATTGCAGAAATTATCAATTGCATTTGGCCTAGAAATAACATAGCTTTTGTGGAAACACTGGCAGCAACTTCAAAATTACATGGTGGCCCCAAAGGTACTTCTATTAGTTGGGACTTTTCCTTGTTGTATTTAGACGGTTTCTCACTATATGTATATAGCTCAGGCTGGCCTTCAGCTCAAGGTGATTGTCCTACCTCAGCCTCCCAAGTGCTGGGATTACAGGCGTGCACCACCACCTCCAGCTAGTTGGGACTTTCTTTGTTTCAGGCTACAGGATGCTGCTTCAAGGAGTGGGGGACAAAGGTGGGAGGAAAGGATGGGAGAAAGGAGTTTTCGTGGGCTCAGGTAAGACTGAAAATTTCAGGGACGGTACCAGCCTGAAGCACCACCAAGTCTTCCACATTAAACAGTAGTACTAGTACTGTTCCCTTTGAATCACCTTGCAACTTAATTTGCAGGATTTATGTTCTCAAACATTGTTAGACTACAAATTTAGACAAAAGAAGAGAAATTTCCACTAGATCTACCAAATTCTGGATTCACTCTGACTGTCCAGCTTTATTGCTGACTTGCCTGTTCTTGAACAAGTTGTGGTCAGGGGCTAGGATATACTGTTTTTCCTCCTCACACTGCCTTATGTCATATTTCTAACCATACAGATTTTAGACCTGAATCCTCCACAAACATCTAAGCATGTGAAATTGAGCAGAAGTACAGCCTCAGTGTGCAGATATTATGACACTAAAAAGTCATTACTTACCTTTTGTCCTGCCAAGAATACTTTTCCAAAAGTTGCCACAACTGGGTGACTCAATCTGGCCCTGTAAATATAAAGCAGAACCTTTAGATACATTTAAGAAACTGGACATTGGATGTTCATGCTGAAATTTAGGAGTGATTTCTGTAAACTAGTTAAACTGGTTTTTACACCCTCATCTATAGCTCATGTAGACAGTTGCTGCCTAAGTTAGAGCATTTTCATTATTCATTTTCCAGGATTTTTCATCACTACCCATGCTACTGACTTTATTTAAATATCTAGCCTAGTTTTTTATCCTCCATGTCAGGGCCTGAAGGTGGCCAGATGCCCATTGGGATAAAGTTTTATTGAAACACAAGACACACCCTTAGTCACAGCCTTTCCTGGTGTGCCTCCTTCCTGCTGCAACAGCGCAGGTGAGTGGCTGTGCAAGAGCATATATGAGGCACAAGCCTGAAATAGTGATCACTGGGCATGGAGAATGGACTGTTGATTCTTGCTGTGTACTGCGTGTGTTCTGTCACAGTCTTCTGCTTCTTGACATTGGCATGCTTAGGAAGGAGAGACAGGTAGTTTCTTCATAATGCTACTCTCTAGTGTTCCAAAAAGTGTTTAAAGGAGACTATTTCTGCCTTACCTGTTTCACCGAACACTTGTTCGATCAGCTTCCCTTCTTTTTCTGTACCTGTGACTCCGGTTTTGTGCTTCCCACCTTCTAAAGCAATCAGCCTTTCGTATGTGTCTGCGGACGGGAAGTGCAGTTTCCCCTAAGCACTTGAACACATCCGCCTGTGTGCACTGGAGAGGCACACAGTGCCGGACACCTGCACAGAAATCCCGTCCCCTCTGGGCAGTCCTCTCAGAGTCACATCTGCTGTGGGCAGAGCAATGTTAATTTATGAAGAAGTGTTCAGTGAGATTCGGAGAGGCGGTTTTCCCCTTTTGTCACTGGATTCTGTAAGTCGCTTGGCTGATTTCATTGGAAAGCTGCGGAGTTAAACTGTACTTGAAGAACAAGGATAATAATACCCCTTTCCTGCTTTTTCTGCAGCCTAAATGCCCTGTGGAGTGAGAGAAAACTTCAATCTCTTCGCTTGTGAATCCCTTATCTTTCCCAAACGTTAAATTAATTTTTAAAGCTATTTATTCAAAGTTGACTTAACCACTAGAATAGGAAAGATCAGACAAATCAGCTGCAAGAAATGAAGTATGAGGAAACCCGAACTCTTTGACAAAGTATTCCTGGGAGTAAACGTGTTGAATGAAGCCAGCGGGTAAATGATAAGGGCCTTTACACTGTGGATATAAGAAAGCAATTTATCAAGAGTACATGAACTCTCTAGTGACCACAAGTCAGGAGGAAATGAGAGTGGAGGAGGAGCCCTGAAAAAATACATTAAAAATACTAAAAAACCTGTGTGCACGCACCTTTAAATCCCTTAATTATTGTGTAGGAACACTAGGATGTTAAAGTAGGACTTGCCCAGACTGCACGTGGACGATAGCCCGTACTGTTTGGGGGTGTTTTGAGAAAGGCCATGCAGGGGCTTAGAATTTGCAAGAATTTGGGGTACTCTCAAATGTGGTTACGATTCCAGCAGGATGTTTCCGGGTTCATTTGCCTGCCGCGGAGGTTAAATGAATACATTGGAGGTTTACGTGCTTACCTGGCTTTCAGCCTAGCACAGGTGCAGAATTGCGACAGTTAATGGCGGCACTCTGCGTTCTCCTGAGCAGTTCTAGGCGCCGTCGTCCTCTCACCAATCTGGGCAGCACGTCTTTGAGTCCTTAGCTGAGACAGTGTAAGCTTTAATTCATGTTCGAGAAACCGAGGCAGAAGGAGCAGCAAGGTTCCCGTTAACTCGCACATAGATGGGAACCAGAATTTATGACCTGACCGTGAGGCATTCAGTTCCGAGGCAGGGTGCTGTTGCTCAGGGCCGAGAGGAAAGAGAGCCCAGTTGTTGAAATAACGGGTTTCCTTTAAAGTCTTTCCGAACAGCCATCCTTCACTCTCTACGTGGACACAATAGTTGCAACAGTTGGAAATTCACAAATTTTGATCTCAGTCATTTGTTTTCATTTTCTTTTGACAGTCTTGTTGGAGTTTTTACGAAGTGACTAATTATAACTTGAATTTGTTTTTCCCCCCAAATAACCTTTAAAGAACACGCCAGTGAGGACAAAGCTGTGACATGAAGCAAGCGGGGATGGAAGGAGAACTAAACTTTCCAGTGCCTCCCCTTAGCTGATCTGAGTTACGTTTCTAACCCTCAGTGCAGCCTCCAAGTTAGGCCTTTTACCCATGCTGTCTGAGGCTCCTTAGGTGTTTTAACAAGTGAATCATATTTAAAAAATATTATTTGATACTGGTTGAGCCTGAGTTAGAAACGGATCCTGGTAGTGTGAGTTGAGCTGTAGTAGTTCAATTAGCAAATCAGTTAAGTTTTTAAAGCTAGCCACAGTCATTTAAAAGCATTTTTATTAATTCTCTTTCTGAAAGTTGTGTTTTGTGTTTGCTATTGCCTGCAATGTATATACCCTAAATTACAGAGAGAAAGAGCGGGACCAGAGTGAAACATGAAAGGGAGAGGCTCTTGCGTGAACATCAGTGGCGCTGCGATCTGTCTGTAGAAATGAGCCCTGCTAATGTCCGGTAATAGTTCCAACAATAGTTCAGTAGTTTCTGACTCTGTCCTTTCTCTTTCTTTACTCCCTCCTCATCCTTGAAACCTTCGTGACACAACCGCAGCCTTGGACAAGCTCAGCACGCAGCACCTGTACCATCCCACCCAAGTGGAGATCGTGCAGTCCAACGTGGTGTTTGACATCAGCAGCCTGATGCTCTATGGGACCCAGGCAGTGCCTGTGCGACTGAAGATCCTGCTCGACCGCCTCTTCAGTGTGCTGAAGCAAGAGGAGGTGCTGCACATACTGCACGGCCTCGGCTGGACTCTGCGGGACTACGTCCGAGGATATATTCTTCAGGTAGGGCGGGGTTTGAATGCCAGCGTCCGAGGCGGCTCTCCAAGGGCTGGGTAGAGCCTTGGCAGAGCCTTGGGCACGCCCGTTCTCCTTCCTGGCCCTGGCACACTCAGGTACCCATGCTGTCCTCTGGTCAAGGGTTGGGAAGGAAGACGACACGGCAGGCGCCGTGGAGTCCTGGTGGTGATGTGTATTAGAAGGGGAAAAGTGGCCTGTTCACTGGCTTAATTTGATTTATACACTCTGAATTCAACTCTTTTGCCCTACAAAATGGCTTTGTTTCCCTTTAAGTGAGTAACTATTGTAGCCCTGTGAATAAGGAGGGCTCTTTCAGGTGGGTCACGGGTGTGTGAAAGTTGGCGATTGCTCTCCCTCTGTGTGCTCTTTCTCACACTCAGTTAGAGACGTGGTGTTTCCCTTTGTTGTCTGTGTACCCGCGCTACTTACTATGTATTTATCCATATCAAAGGAAGAGTTGTAAGCTACATAAACTCCCTGCTTGTATAACAAGTAAAACATCACCGTGTAGCCTTCAGAGGTTCCCTTCTGAAGCATGCAGACGTGGTTTTATAGGTTTGGTCTTCACAGTACCTGCTCTTATAGTCCGAAGCCTCTCTTTTATATCAGTGAAGCTTCTGATCCTTACGGCCTCCAGGCTGATCGTGGCCTTCACCCTACCCCATCCCAACGTGTGAATTTTTTTTTGTTTGTCTTGGGTAATACTAAATGTATAGTTTGTCAGTGTATACTTTGCATCTCAAATGTTCGTGTGGCTATCTGTCCTCCTTCAGCCCCAGAGGGCTAAATGTTGAGAAAAGTATGTTTGGGGACCCGAGGTTGGAAAAGCACAAGCCTGGATGATGACATACTACCTGCTGTGTTGAGGGAGATCTGAGTTGGAGAAGGCAGAGTCGGAAGTGGTTTTTGAAATCTCCAGTGGGAATAGTGCCAGGAGAACTGACCGCTCCCGAACAGAAGTTTCTGGCTCTGCCCACTTCGTGTAGTGCTGGAGCTCACTCTCCATGTTGTGACCTGAGGCACACTGTGTTCTGAGAGGACCTCGGCTGCTAGCTTGCTGTGTGGCAGGTGGGGAGCTTCATGTCCAGCCCGTGCTTTCACTGTGCAGCAGAACACACAAACTCCTGTCGTTTTCCTCTGGTACTTACGGGATTGGGGCAGCAAAGGACAGCAGCAGAGACACGGTGAGTAGAAGTAAGGAAAGAAAGAGAAAGTGGAATAACCTGTGTGTCCACAGAGTGGACTGTCTTAGTTCAGTGAGAACCTCACCTCGGAATGCAGAGAAAATGTGACTCTCAGGAGAGGAGATGGTGGCGATGATAATAATAATGGTGTATTACGTTTTCAGTTTATAGAGCATGTTCACAACATTACCTCATTTGCCTCAGGGTGGAGACATGTTTAGTAGGGTAAGTGAGGAGATAAGGCCTTGAGTAATCAGAGGACATAGAAGGGCAAAAGGTCCAGCAGGAGGGGCCAAGAAAAATAAAGCAAGGGACCAGTTTTGTGGTCCCTGCTTTTTGGCCCTGACACCTATGCAGTCCCGTATCATTCCACGCTTGTTTCCAAAACATGGTTGACAGTCTGTTTGGGACTTCTTTTACCCCATGCGAAGGAAGAAATCTCTGACAGATGTCTGAATTGGGGCTGTTTGGCTAATGGTTCCATTCAAAACCTGTAAGTGTTTTGCTCCAGTAGAGTACCATATTTTTACTGCCTTCGCTATAATATTGTCTTCTTCCATCAGTGTGATATTTCAGTTCCACAAGTATTTTCTGCCTTAGATAACGGGAGCATATGCATTTTCTGTCCAACAGATAGATAAGTGTGTGGTGATACTGATTTGCCGTGAAAGCAATCTGTAGCGGCTTACTGTAGTTTTCTGATGGCCATAAATGTGTAACCTGTTGTTTTTTCTGACATGGTACTACTATTCTGCCTTGAATAGAGCTTTTCTTTTTCCCTTCTTTAAAAAATTACTTAGGTATTCATTTTTCCCACATTTCAGTATATCTCTAAGGCAAGTATAGAATATGTATTCCTTTAAAATATACTATGTATTTCTTTTTTTAGTGAGAAACCCCTGAATTTAAAGATTAAAAAACTACAAGAGAAATTAAGTATAAAAGAAAACCCCCCAACAAACTAACATGTATAAACTATCTTACTTGAAGGTGAAATACTTTATATAAGAAATATCACCCTATAACATGACACTCAAATTATAATCTAAAATTATAACTTAATTTAATTTAATTTTTGTATTGGGAATCGAACTCAGGGCCTTGCACTTGCCAGGCAGGTGTTGCGCCGGTGAGCTATATCCCCAGCTGCTACTAATTTAATATAATTTATATAAGAAATATCACCCTATAACATGACACTCAAATTATAATCTAAAATTATAACTTAATTTAATTTAATTTTTGTATTGGGAATCGAACT